TAATTTAGAAATCGATCCTCTTTACCATCTACTAAATCGACTTGATCTTATTGAATTATTTTCACTATAAGCAGTTCGTTTATTATATTAGACTTCCAAATTAACCAAATCTTCGTGACTAATCTAGCAAATTCTAAAAAGTTACTACCTGTATTTACTAAGTATCTTTACAGAAAGAGGAATAAATATTTTCACTTGCATATTTGCTAAGAAGAGATGAAAGTAAAGAATATTTTAATAGGATTTTTATGAAAAAATCAATGCTTCAGAAAATATTTGCTTGACAAATTATAGGAGAGTAGAAAATTGCATTAAGTGGCTTTCAATTTTCCATAAATGTTAAGGAATTTATTTCGGTTAACAAAATACATGATATTTATCAACATTTAAAACTATAATCGCAATTACTGATGATTTGACTTTTCTATTTCTTTTCATTTTAATTTTTCATTAATTTCCTTCAATTTAATTAATTTAATAATTAAATTTTCTATTAATATTAGATTCTTAGAGATAGAATATCTATAATTGCACACGGTTATATAATTTATAAAAGCTTCTTGTAAATTGTTAATAATAAACACATAATGGAATACAAGCAAACTAAACAATTAGCAGCTAGCTTCCATAGCTAATACTAGGATTTCAATTTATTCCTAAACGTTGGATTCTTGAAAGGACCTTTGCTTTCGCCTTCCAATTTCAGACATACAAGCAAATATTATAAGTGTTTTCCTCTTATTTTAAAAATCAATATTTTCTTTAATATGAATTGATAAATTAGCTGCTCGACTGGTTCTGAGAGCGCTAAGGAAAAGCATGGTTTAAATTCAGAAAATTTCTGCTCCAGCTCTAAGGAATTGTACAGAATAAAGGATAAGCCAGAAAGCGAGAGAAAAGTGCCTAAAAGTTTTAAATAACCTGTTTTTTAAAACATTATCTATTGATACAATAAATGTAAAGTCGTTGGTCATGTGGAAAGAAAGTTTTTTTTATTAAATAATTTGAAAAAAAAATTAAACTAGAATTTGTGTAAAAGAAAAAAATTTTTTAAGTAATCCAAATTTATTCTGAAAGGATTTATTTTAAGTACAGTACAAAAGAAATGTCATATTTAATGTTTACTCATACAAAAATGGAGATAATCATTGAGACATTCATTACATATCTACAACTTTTAATTTCATTTGAAATATTTACAGTTACAACATATACAACCGACCCGATAATTTTATTTAGAGCAATAAACATTCCTAAATTATTTCTACGCCTGAGTTTTTTAATTAAAATTTTTGTGCCTTTTTGTTACTTTCCTGGCTGTTAAATATAACAGCGGGAAAGTACAGTATGACAATTGGTCAAAAAGTGACCATCTAAGTTTTACATTTTGGACTCAGGAGACCTTGAAACGCCGAGAAATTCAAAAAAAAAATTGTTTTTTTTTTTAAATTTTCTATATGTATATGTGGGGGGCATGATTTTGTTCACTCTCTTTGAAGCTTAATAACTTCTGTGTCTTTTAGTCAAAATTTTCTGAAATTTTGCAGGAGATTTGTGTATTAGGAGGATCGATGGTATTAAATTTTGGTGGTTAAAGGTCGAAGGAGTGTGGAGATAGGAACACGTGCCGTATCTGAGTGTGTCGAACTTCATGAAGATTTTACTCGTTATTAGCATTTACAATTTAAAAAAATTAAAACTCGTCTCTACCCTCAAAATAAAGCTTTTTTTTATTATTAAGATTTTAATAAAATTTCATAATATTGTTAACTTTCTTGCCGGAAAAGCAAACGCAATTCGTTGCTGGATTCTTTTAGATGTTTTCGGGAGTTTGAATTGGGTGTTTTAAATGAAAATGTTCTCTTATAAATGCTGCATATAGCATATTGATATGGATTCTTGTCAGAGTAAAAAGTTTTAAACTTACTTTTTTTTTGTATAAACGCTATTTTTAATTTAATTTTTTATTGAAAACAAAACGTAATAATTACAGCATATCATAATTTATGTGGTGTTGTTCATACTAGTAAATGCTAAAGCAATTACTCGCCAGATCAGACTAGATTGTTTCCGGTAAAAGAAAATTAAATTATTGGTAGCTATTAATGAAATACAATCAGCAACAGGATAATCCACTAACGTTTTTAGCAAAATCACCAAGTTGTAGTATTGTAGGTGTACAGTAGACTTGCTGTAATTGTCGCTGACTAAGTAGTGATTTCCAGTTTCTGGTTGTTTCACTTATTACATTTCTTTCCATTCCAGATTAAAGAAATTACTCACCCCTTGGATACACCCTGTGCATGAAAAGCCAATCTTATTTTCTAGTTTAAAAAGACAGTGCAATATAACCTACACAATTATACAATTTATTTAGCAACGAGTTGCTTAACTTTCCCGGCAACATTTGGTGGCGTCATCTGTTATGATATTTTATTTAAAAACATGTTTTTATATTTTTAATTATTAGAAAATGGCAAAAAAATCTTAATTTTGAGGATGAGGATGTTTTATGAAAAGTTTGCTTTGTTTGTAAACAATCTAGCCTTAAATTTGGTTTTTATTTAAAAATTAAATCCTAATAAATATAAGAATCACTGTAATGTTAGTGTTGAATACAAAGGCTAGCCACTGACTGTATTGTAGAAAACACCACCGTAGAAAACACCGCCTATTGTTTTAACGCCATCTGGTGAATGGAAACAACAGACATTACAAAATGAGTGGTAAGTAATCTGTCATTATGATTAGTATATAAATATTTTCTTCAAAAAATGGAGGAAAACGTGATTCATTCGACTGACCATGAAAAATCTATTAATATTTTTCTTGTTTCAAAAACTGGTATTAACAATTGAAAATGACTACAGTATTAGGGGAAAAAAACATATATATACAACTATTTTGTAAAATCTTTATTCTTAAATATAAAAACAATGAAAATATAGGACAACTTGCTAAAAAATTAAATAAAATATTTTTATCCCGATATACCTTTGACGTTTAACATAATTTGTTAAATATTAGAATTTATCTTTCTGCAATACGTACGGTACACAGGAAGAAACTTTATTAAAATCATAGAAAATAAAAGTATGCTCATCGTTATGTCATAAATCTACAGTTTCGCTTATTGCTTACTAACGATCTATAAGCGACCACTTCTCTGTAAATTGAGGAACTTTGTGTACTTAGGGAAGTTTTCCTTCTTCAAAAAAACAGTAAAGTCATGATTTGCGGTAAGTTTAATATAAAGTTATCACGCATCATGACTTCACTATTTTTGAAGAAAGAATTTCCCTAATTACAAAAGTCTCTCAACTCAGAGGGAAATGATCGTAACTAAGCAACAAATGAGACTACAAAATTCTGTTTTATATATGTCAAAAAATAGTTTCCTGTTTACCAGTCTTGCGTGTGCACTCATTTCAAATATGTAAATGTTAATAAAGTATTTAATAAATATGTTAAATGTCACTGATATCATAATTGCAATATTGTATTGAGGTTCTTCGTTAAGCATCCTGTGAAAAGATCAGATTATATTTTTAAAATTATAGCGTTAGTTTCAAGTAAAAGAACTTTAATTATTAGAAAATAAATCGGTTTTTTTCCACTTTTCATACTTATTTTAAACATTTTTTGTAGTCTTTACTGTTTTATATTTAAAAACAAAAAAATAGTGTTTTATGTCCGAGGCATCATATACTATATAATGTTAAAAATAATACTCACCATTAATATTTAAAAAAAAATCTAAGTCATGAATAAATATTAGTACATATGTTAGATGAAGTCAAATAGAATATCGTTTTGACATCATGACTATGATATTTACGCAATTTTTTCTAGATCAGGTGATTAAATGAAAGTAATAGTAATAAACTGATAAAAAAATAGACCGATAAAATTCAGCAAAACAGTTGAATAGCCATCGAAATTGGGCATCTGTAGTTCTCAACAGTCCACGAGAGAGCCAAATTTGGAGTTTTTTTCTATTTCTTCCATTCGGTTTAGATGAATTTCCGTTATGTCGACGTATCATATTCTTTGTCATATCCTTTGACAATGACTATTTTCGAACGGAAATGTATTTTCCCCTCCCCGCTTTAAGTCTAACCAACATATTGGTTAGGTTAAAAATTCTTAATTAAATTTATTATAAACAACTAAATAAGTATTAAGTAGATAAAATAATAGAGTCGTAAAACCTAGATCATCACAATAATAAATTTCCAAATAAGTAATTTGGTCCGAAAAGGAACAACGCGAATAGACTAAAAAACTATTTCCGAAAATAGGCTAAATCGTTTTTTATTGCTAACCTGTTGCTGACAGGATGGAAGAGCTAAATAGATACAGACAGAACGATTCTGGAAATCCAGGACGAATAAAATGAATAACTTTGTACTGTACATATGGCATCAGAAGAACTCGAATGAACTGCCTTAATTATTTTTGAGGAGAAAAATCTTTGTATTTTAAAGAGCAAAACAAATTTTTTTCGGGCTTTTGAGGAGGTGAGGAATTAGTGAGGTTGGGTTGAAAGAGGGTGATAGAAACAATAGTCTTGGTACCTAAAATGTACATTTATTGACCCGAGTATTTACAATAAATTGCTCCAGATTAAGTTTAAAAGGAGTGGGTTTTAGGAATGATTGAGGAACCGCACGGTGTTTTTTCTGGACTCACGGACATTGATATATTATTATATATATTTTGACTTACACATATATATAGCCTATATATATGTAATTTTAAGTATATTGTATCTATGTCAGTAAATATGACTTTTTATGTGGTATATTCGATTTTTATATTATTATTATTTTAAAAATTATCTTAAATTGAGGAAAATGCGAATGTAATATTTTAAAAAAGTCATAATTTCTATTCCATTAATCTTGGTGTATTGGTATATTTTTTAAATGAAACATATTTTTTCTTTTTAATAAAAGAAAAAACATAAATATTTATCGATCCAAATTGAATATTTGCAGACCTGTCAGTTGCCTTGGACATGCCAGTCATTTATCCAGCAGTCTTCATTCTTTACCTGTCAAATTAACTGACTCCGATGTCAAAACTTCTGCCATGCGTTCGAAATCAGCGACCCATATTAACAAAAGATTATCTAGTACAAGACATCACTCTCAATAAAAATAAATATTGCATTGATTCGTATGTAATTTTGATTCTTGTTTTATTTTGAATGCTATAAAATTTCTATACTGAAATATTCTATGTTTTAATATAAAAATTTATTAAAAGTAGTGAATTCTGACTTACGTAATAGTCGGAATTCACTAGAAATAAAAACAAAATTTTGTTTTTTTGCAAGATATTTGTAACTAGTCAGTTCTTTATAAATAATTATTTATATGTATTAATTATTTTAAATATTTAAATAATTACGTAAATTTATATCTAATAATTATTCATAAAATATAGAAATTATTCAGAAAGGAAACATTCACATTATGTGAAAAATCATAAAGGATATTTATTATTCCTTATGAATTTTGAATTAATGTATAAATACTGTATTTGTATTATTATTTAATATTGCAAAATTAATTATAATAAATGTTTTAATCTTATTGCAATAATTAAATATACTAAATACAATCCATTGATAAACAAATTAATTATTTATTAAAAACGTTGTAATCAGCAGTACTTTTATTATAATTTATAAACATTATTTTCCTTTTGATGGTTGATAAAATATTTAAAAGTAATTTCTATTTATTATCAGACTAAACATACATTTCCTTATTTTTCAAACGTACAAAAGTTTTGATTTTGATTATGTAAAATTTACTTTAAACAAATATTCAAATTGGATGATAATTAATACAAATTTATTTGTTATATAAATATTTTAAAACAAACAATTCATACAAAAATATGCCTTGTTAACAATTAGTGATATTTTAATATATTAAAATTCTTTCAAATTTTCATGTTGTTAATCATCTTTCGTATCTTTTTTCATTTATTCTGCATACTAATAACATAGCTGATATTAATCCAAATAGCTGAATAAATGCAAACAACATACATATAATTGCAACTATGTACAATTGTTCCATTAACCACATGTGCATCCTCTGATAACAACCCTGTCACCATTAAAAAGTAATTAATTAATTTTGGATATTTTAAATATATTTCTCCTTAACTTTAATATACCAACCTGATTGTGCCATATTTCTGTTTCATTTCTCATGCCACAAGTTTCATTTTTATACGCTTCAATGCAACAAGATGTTGGCACCCAAGTTTTTTCGGGCCATGCATTGATATTATACCAATCATTAATTCCATTAACTCCGCAACATTCAAACTATATATTTTTAAAAATACATATTATAATTTCATAATTAAATTAATAAATTTTTAATTCAATTTACCTTTAATTGAATATGATCCCATGCTTCTGTTAAACCATTAACATCATTCACTTTGTACTTTTCTTGAATACCCATTAATAATTCGTCTCTAAGCGTTTCACCTACCTAAATGTTAGCCCATGATTAATTTCTTAAATAATTAATAATATTAATAATATATATATAAACTACTCACGTGTTTTCTGTATATAAACCCAAGTGTTCCAGCGGTAAATTCAAGTAGAAAAATTAATATTACTAATATAAAATACTGCAATTCAAAATAATATATATGTTTTTTAAACGAAAATAATAATATTTTAAACATAAATTTTCTTTAAATTTCAGATCTTACCGAAACTAAAAGGCATTTATTTTGGAACCAGGAACCGCAACATCCAAGAAAACCGACAATAAACGTAATTATTCCGGATGCTATTGATAAGCTACCAGCACTAATTATTTGGTAGGATGGCAATAAAGTAGCGTATCCGCCATAAACTATATGTAACCAAATTCCAATTCCAAGCATTCCACAACCGACCACCTAAAATTTCAATTACTTAAATATTGCCATATAAATACAATAACGATAATAATAATAATAATCAAAACAAGTTTTCCACTTACCCAAAAGAGCAAATTAATTATGCAAAGTGAATGGCGGATACATGTATATCCTGATCTACCCATTTTCATTAACTGAAATACCTGTAAGTAAAATTATTTAAATTATAAATATTCAAAAGGATGAAAATAATATTTTTAATACCGCTTATTATTGAAAAAAAAGCCCCCAAAAATATATCTTGTAATTAATATTTATAATTTATTAAACAATTTATTTGCATTTATAAATTTTACAATTCATCTATATTGTTGCAACATAAGTTTTCTTTAATCGCATGTAATATATAAAGAGAATTATAAACAAATAAATAACGTTATAAAACATAAATAAATACAGATTTTTAATTATCTGTCTCGTGCTAAAGAAGTAAATCTAAATCGGTCGACGAACTTCTAAATTCTCCATGAAATTCACTTCAAGCTATTTTTTTTAAATCTAAAAATATCATTCAGGAAACAACGGTTACCGATTTAACATATTTTACATAATTAATACAAATTTAATTGATTTCATTCGTGCTTAAATAATCAAAATAGTTATTCTATTAAATTTAAAATAATCAAAACTGATGATACTTAGCTTATATATAGGTCTATATATAATATTTATGTCCCATTTTCGATTTAAAATACACATGTTATCACAACACTCTCGGTTATTTACAGAAATCGGTCTTTATGTAACACTTACTCTAAATAATATTTCTTTAATTTATTAACAATAAATTTTTAAAAGTTTATTAGAATTATAAAAGTAATTTCTCTGCTAAAGATTTTTTACGACAGGATATGACAATAATCAATTTTCTTGGGCGTTTAGAGTTAGCTTTGTAGATATATTTTATTTCTAAATTCAAGGTCTTTATTCAATTGAAATAAAAATTTATATATTTTTACGTATTAAAAATAAAAAGCGTGACATATTTTTATGTGATTTATACTCAATTAAAATGCATATTCGATTAGAAATGAACAATTCTTAAAAGGTACAGTACTTACTTTTTTAAAGCAGTCAGAAAACACAAGAATAAACAAAAATAGAAGACGTATAAACTATAATTAAACCTTAGTCTCATAAACTTTCCCTTCGGCAATCGCTTGGAGTTTCAATTACTTTTTTATAGTGTTGTGTCTGATCAGAAATAGAATAAAACTACAAATAAGCAGTGCGAAGTTTCTGGTTTGTATTAAGCAAAATCATTTATTAACTAAAAACGTAGGCCAAGATTTCAATCTTAAACATGACACTACAATTGAGGAATTCCTGTCGAAGGTAAATACATATTTAACGATGACGATTATGACTACATAAATTATATAAATTCTAAAATAAACAATTACTTAAGCAGTCAGAAATTGTTCGAAACACAATACATCAAAAATTTTAATAATAATTTGACCCATAAATTGAAATTACTTTTGTACTCGTAAGTGATTGTCACTGAATGTCTCCCGGAGAGTAACGATTTGTCAAGGATACAATAAACTATAAGAAAGTAGCTAAATGAAATTGTTATTTTCTTATAAAATTAAAGAAAAATATCACCCCGACTGTTGTCGCCAATTAAAGAATAAATTGAATTTAACACAGAAACAACTGTTAAAATAACCGAAGAGTTAGTTTTAAAATGAAGGTTACCGTTCAGAATTTTATTTCGTTGACCTGTTAGACGTCCTTGAGAACCTCAGATAACCTTATGACTGACATCTCGGTATAACCCAGGGACGTTTCACCACCCACTTTAACATCTGTTGACCCGCAGGAAGGTTAAATGCGATATAGTAAAGTAATCGACAAACAGAAACACACATCGAATACGTCTCGATTCATAAAACCGATTTTATAAGATGGATACGACTTGTTATCGATAATATAAACGAAAATACACAACGTGATCTGGAAAGGCCACACCTGTGTGTAGGATTTCCGACGAACACCTATTCACGCCTCCACTCAGATTCTGCACGAAATGCATCGAGCATTGTCCTTTTCTTTTAAAAATACAAACACTCTGTTAAGCAAAATTCAATGTAGAGGTAAACAAAAAAGGTAAGAACAATACAAATTAAGTTATTCAGTCACATGTAACGCAAACTCACGTGAAGCTTTCTTACACGTTAAAATTCTATGTATTATATAAATACACCTACATTTTTTTTTATATTTAAAAATTATATATATATATATTTAAGTAAAACGTTTTTATTTATTTATTTATTTATCTACTAAATTAATTAATTCAAGTAATATTGTTTACTTACAGGTGATTATATTCTTTCAATTTGTTCCGATTGGATTTATACTTCTTCATCCATTCATATTTTGCTTACATCGTACGATTCTATACACAGGAACTTTCTACACGTACCCGAGTATTAAACTTCCTTGTTTATAACGTGAAACAGCACTGCACTTGTGAGTCTTATATAAAAGCGACCTCTACCGATTTTTTTCCTTTTCTTTTTTACCTTTACAATTTACTATCGTGTTTACCACAGTTTATTATGTTTACTATCCAATTTACACAGATTTATTACTTTAATCCAAGAAATGTTTAATAATAATAATAATAATAATATTTAAAAAAACTTTTGATTTGCTGAATTTTAAAATTAACATTTTAATATCTACATCCAGATCCAGATTTACTGATATATATTTTTAATTAAAAACATTTTTTATTCCTTAACAAATTATATATTAAATTATGGATTATAAAACAAAAACATAACATTAAAAACTGATGATAAAATAATTATTAAAATATTATTATTTTTTAAAA